CTCTGCGTCGAGGGCCAGAAGGACGGCAACTTCAAGCGCTCCGGCTTGAGGAAACTGGAGTACGACCCCTACACCCCCGAGATGAGGAAGATGATCAGTGGCTACATCAAAACAGTGGACACGGCTCTGAAGCTCCGGAACCTGTCGGGGGTCCCGGATGATTATTACCCGAGATGATGGTGATAATGGCGGGGGGACCTGACCCTGCTCCCGACCTCTGCCTAATTCCACCCAGTGGGTGGCTCTGCTTTTAATTCTCCATCTGCTGCTATAGCTGTTGATCAACTCCCTGCATGAGCGACGAGTGGTCCCCAACCAGTGCTGAGCTTGTTTGGCCATCACAGACCCCGGCATGGCGGCAGCGCCAGGGGGACACGGGTGCCTTCACCACCACAGGGTTCCTGCTCCATCCCACTCCTGCTCTGGCTGCCACAGCCCTCCTTGGAAGTGCAATGGGTTTTATCTGTGGTCCTTGCAAGTGCCCTGGGTTGTCTGTGGTCTCCTTGGGCTGGCTCGGAGTCACCAGCCATGCCTGATGGACCCGGTGCCACCAGAGCTGAACTCCCTGGGGTGGGAGTTCCCCAAACCCCCCTCACTTCATGGCCAGCCCTGGGAGGCATCTGCTTGTCCCTGGATGGAATCCATCAATCTTAGACCAAGGGGTGGTACTACGTGGGTGTTGCTCCCATGAGATCCCATCATTCCAGATGGGAATCAGGAAGGCTGCACTGGGGAGAGCGATGCCCCCAAACAAGGTGGCTGTGCCCCCATGAGCCATCCCTTGGCTCCTTGGGGTCCCTGGAGCAAGGCTGCATTCCCAGCCCCAGCACAAGGCAACATTGCTGCTCCAGCCTCGGGAGGGAGGGCTGTGACCCCCACCTGGGTGGCTCCAGGTAAGATCTCCCCCCTCCATGGGGATTATGCTCAAGAGGGGAACGTTGGCCCTGGACAGAAGAGCTTTTGCAACCCAGGAGCTCCTCTGTGCCTCATTTCAGGAGCTCACGA